CGCACGGGAAGCGGTGCCTGCTTGCGATCGGCCAATTAACGCGCCAACGCCAGACTTGCCCCATACCTTATCCTCATCCTCCTCGTCCCCGTACTCATGATTACCCTACCTCCCCTCAATACTAACTGAGAGCACCCACGCCCACCATCTGTGCCTCTTGCCTACCCGTCTGCGGCCCGCGCAGGTGGGAGGGCAAGGAGCTGCACAAAATGGGATGGCCCGACTCCCCGACTAAGGCCACGCCAAATGGGGCCCCTCTGGGCGCCGTCGCGAGGCTGCGCAACCCCCTGCGCCTGAACGCCGCGCCGTCGGCACCGCTCTCTGGGTGCAGGCGATTGATCGCGGCCACGTCCACGCCACCGCACACGGGCGCGCCCACAGGCTGCCGTCTCCTCCAGAGCCCCGGGCACGACACCAACGCCGCCCACACGCGGAAGCGGCATGGCACCAGCGCCGCCGCTGGCGCCAGCGTCCACCGCAGGGAGTCCACCTGCGCCCAGTGCTGCCACAGCTGCGAGTCGCAGGGCAACCCCTCGCAAGCGCGCAAGTGCGGCTCCCCGCACAGCGCCGACACGCTCCCGGGGACGAGCATCGGCAGCTCCGTGGACAGTTGCAGCGCGGGCGCGCCGCCGCGCCGCGTCGTGCGTGCCAGCCGCCGCCGAAGCCGCGCCGCGTAGGGCGCGGCCACGTCCCGGGCGACCTTCGCGCAGGAGATGGACTACAACATCGACTGACCCCATCAATGAATTTTCGGCTGACTTTGGCATCCAGAATCCCACCAGATGCACACAAGCAAACTCGAATGATCGGGTCATGATCAATTTTGTATAGTCTGTTAGGGCCTGGAGGTCCTGAGCGCTGCTCTCCAGGCAGAGCACGGTGGGCCGGCGGCCGCTCAGCCAGAGTGCAGCCCGCAGCCGCCGGGAGGCGGGCCCGCGGCGCCGCTGGCGCCGCCGCTCCCGCGCCAGCTCCGCCAGCGCGCTCAGCGCCGCCACACTCGCCAGTGGCCCGTCGGACAAGTCCACGACCAGCACCCCGGCGTGCTCGCGCCAGGGCCTCAGCGGCGCCGCGCGCACGGCCTGGCGCACCGCGCCCTCCAGCAGCTGGTGGCCAGCGTCGTCGGCGAGCGACCACAGGCGCGCCTGCGACCAGAGAGACATGTTACTGGCGGCCCTCGGCACCAGGGCCGGCGAGGGCGGCGTCTCGCCGTCCGCGCCTAGCACGCGGAACCACACATCCTCGTCGTTGTGCAGCACGGCCACGCGCAGCACGCCGCCAGCCGCGACCTGGGCGGCGGGCCTCGGGAGCACGCAGACCGACTGGCGCCAGTGGTCGATCTCGCTTCGCGGCGGCAAGTGCGACGCGGAGGGCGCCCAGGGCGGCGCATTGGTCATGGCGGCCTCCGCGTCGCCCCGGACCATCCGGCACCGCCACCAGAACACGACGGCGTCGACCCTGCCCGCGCGCGCCACCCTCACCTCGCACACCTGACAGCGGCCGGCCGCCGGCGGAAGCGATTCGAAGTCGAAATGGAAGGCGTAGAACTCCTCCGACAGCACGCGCGCACCGCCCGCCTCCACCAACCGGTCCAACGCGACGTCGTGCGGATTGGCGTCGCCGTGGTCACGGACGTAATCCGTCGGCATCCACGCGCGCGGGGTGCAATGCTGCCAAGAGGCCAGTACGCTGCTCTCCACGGCCACCGCGAACAGTTCCGCGGACGCCGGCACGGCATGGTAGCCAGGCTCCAGCAGCCGGTCGGCAGCGTGCCGCAACGTGCCCAGGCAGTCTTCGCCCAGCAGCCCTGCGTCCAGGATCTCCGCCACGACCAGTGACGCGCGCGCCGCGGCGCCGGCCGACCCGGCAGGCCCAGGCAGGCCCTGCAACGAGGTGGAACGGCAGGCGTGCACACTCATGCGCCTCTCCTCGCCGGCCCTCTTCACGTTGTCGCGCGCCACCGCGGCGACGCTGGCCTCGCACTCGATGCCGTGGACGTGCTGGAGCCGCGGCTGCCGCCGCAGCAGAGCAAGGCCCAGCACACCAGAACCGCACCCGATGTCCACGGCCAGGCCGCGCGAAGAGGCGGCCGGCAGCCGGCCAAAGGCCTCGCCAAAAGCCGCCAGCCGCGCGCCGTCATGCAGCATGTCGAAATGCCATGCGTACGCCTCGCTGCCCTCGTCGCGGGCGCCCGGCGGCAACTCCGTCGCCTGCGGCGGCCGCCGCCGGCGAGGCCGCTTGGCCGGCGCCTCCATGACAAGAGCGCCTGCGCCTCAGGATTCTACCTCGCACTCGCCGCGCACGGAGCCACGGCCAGCGGCGGCCGCGCCCAAGCGCGGACAAGGCGGAAGGTAGCGAACTGACGCGCCAACCCAGCCCTTGGCCTCTGGCATCAGAGCCCGCCCCCTCCCCGCGAGGAGGCCCCATGGGGGGAGATATTTCTTGTCCACCCTTCGGCGCCCTGCACAGGTGGGGGGATAGGATTGCGCCATGCATCGAAATGCCCTTGTCCCCGCATCTAACTACGCCCACCGCTCATCGTGAACGAAGCCCACTATAGTATAGCCCCATCCTTCGTTAGCTCGGACCATCCGTCCTTGGCTCAGGATCGGTGCGTAAGGCCTCCTCGCTCCGCTCCGAAGATGTACGCTCCGATCCCTGCCTGGCCTAGGATGGGGCCTGGTCAGACACGGTGTCGGTGTAACATGTCAGCGTGCGATTAACAAATAGAAGCGGAACGCGAGATTACAAAAACGGCTCCTTTGCTCGGGCAAATCGCGGGGGGGGGGGGGGAACGCCCGCTAAATGGAAACGCGCGGCGGCGGCGCTGGTGATTAGCGCCGACGCCCGGCCGACAGCAGGAGGGCGACAGGCGCGACGCAAGCAGTGCCGCTTCAGCGGACGGAGGACAACAGCCCCTCCGTTATAGCGGGGTTACAGACAGGAGAGAAAGAACAGGCGGGGAAAAGAGGCGCCCAGGTGGCTGGCGGTGCCGGCGTGGCTACAAAGGGGGAAAAAAAAACGAGGGGAGAGGAGCGACAATGGCAATCGGAACATGTTCCTCCTTATTCTTTTCCGCCCACCCCTTCCCACTACAGCATCCTACGAATACGACGACGGCGACGGCGGACGACGACGCACTGCGGATGTTCCATGGGGGGGACAGGGGGATTGCGCATGCCCGCTGTGCTCGTCGACGACGGCTGGCACCACTGGCCTCGACGACGACGACGGCGACGACGACGACCACGACGACGAGGACGACGACAACGAGGACGACGACAACAAACGACGACAACGACGACGACGACGACGACGACGACGACCGACGACCACAACGACGATGTCGGCGGCACGACGATGATGTCAACACGACGACGACGGCGACGACGACGCACCGCGGATGCCCCATGGGGGGGGGAAGGGGTGCTGCGTAGGCGCGACGCAATCGATGACAGGGACCACGGACCACGACGATAACGACGACGTTTGTGGCGCGTCAGTACTCAGCTTGACAGGGGGAAGAACTTCGTCTCGGATGTATACAATCCCTACATCAACCTCTATACGAAAAACGATCATTCTGAAACTGCCGTGCAGGGGGGGGCACGATGCCCTCGGCGGCGCCCGCGACGACCCCCTGGCGCGTGATTTGCATTTTTCCCGCCCCGCAGAATCTATTCACCAGCTCCGGGGCAGACGCCTCCATTGTTAATCAGAAGCTGACATTATTCGTCGTCCTCCGAAAGCCAACGGCGTGGGCAGCACGTTGGCTCGCCAGGATGGGCATGGCCCAATCGCGTTCTGGCGGCCAGGAGGGCATCGGCTCGAATACGCTTGGCCAGCACGGCTACGGACGCGCGTCCATTCTTGCGCGCACGTGCACCGTGTGACGAAGAGGAAAAGGAGCGAATAGGAGAAGGGAGGAGGAGAAGCCAGGAGGAGGAGGAGGAAAAACCAGGAGGAGGAACAACAACCAGGAGGAACGAGGCCAGGGCGCCGTCGTGCGGCCCGCTGCCGTTCTACGGGCGGCGGCACCGCCGGTGCTTAAGCTGAGGGGTTACGGAAGTCCTGCGACTGAGAGACCGACAGCCCGTTTGGGGCGGCGGCTATCTTCTGCGGCTTCCGCTGGCTTCCACCAGCGGTCGCCCGATTGCGTACTCCCGCCCGCTTCCACCAGCCTTTCCGCCGAGGAAGAGATGTTGACCCCGGGCTGTGTAGAACCAGGTCGGGTACATAGTGCTTGGGGGGCACCTTAAACAATGGCATGTTAAATAGATATGCAACAACCTTACGATCGTATTCTGAGGCAGCCCTATAATCCCACCAGCCCTTTGGGCGTAAGTGGTTTAGCGAGCTCTCTCTGTTCTCAACCCCCCTTCTTCCCCTTCGGGGAGGGGTTTACCCCTCCCCCTACCCCCTCCCCCTGGACCTGGAGAGGGGGTTTCGCGGGTCGTTGGAGGGGTCTTTTTCGACTCCTGGGAGGGCTAAAATTTCACACCCCTCACGAGGATTGTGGCCCCGACGGGGGGGAGGAGAAAAGTGCTCGCCCCATCTGTGATCCATCGCCCGAAAGATGGCCCCAAGATACCTCCCAGACCCCTCCCAAAGAGCCCCAAGAGGCCCCAAGAGGCCTCCAAGAGGCCCCCAAGATGCCCCCAAGAGGCCCCCAAGAGGCCCCAAGAGGCTCCCCCGAGGCACCCAAAACGCTCCTGGAAGCCCCTGGACCCGCCAAGAGGCCCCCAAGACGCCCCAAACGGCCTCCAAGAGGCTCCCAAGAGGCCCGAAGAGGCTCCCCCAAGGCACCCAAGACGCTCCTAGAAGCCCCTGGGGCCGCCAAGAGGCCCCCAAGACGCCCCAAAAGGCCTCCAAGAGGCTCCCAAAAGACATCTACTACTACTACTACTACTACTACTACTACTACTACTACTACTACTACTACTACTACTACTACTACTACTACTACTACTACTACTACTACTACTACTACTACTACTACTACTACTACTACTACTACTACTACTACTACTACTACTACTACTACTACTACTACTACTACTACTACTACTACTACTACTACTACTACTACTACTACTACTACTACTACTACTACTACTACTACTACTACTACTACTACTACTACTACTACTACGATTACTACTACTACTACTACTACTACTACTACTACTACTGATCTAGTACTACTACTACTACTACTACTAGTACTACTACAACAACAACAACTACTACTACTACTACTAGTTCTAGTTCTAGTTCTACTACTACTACTACTACTACTACTACTACTACTACTACTACTATAACTACTACTACTGCTACTACTACTAGTACTACCACTACCACTGCTACTAGTACTACTGCTACTATTACTACTGGGACTCCTACTACTGCTGCTATTAGTACTAGGACTACTACTTCCACTACTACTACTACTAGTCCTATTACTGCTACTACCACGACTACAACCACTACTACTACTAAGACTACCAGCGCTACTACTGCTACTACTAGTACTACTATTACTACTACTACTACTACTATTACTGCTACTACTACTACTACTACTACTTCTACTACTTCTACTACTTCTACTACTACTACTACTACTACTACTACTACTAAATCTAGTACTACTACTTCTACCCATGGTGCTACGGCCACTACTACTACTACTACTACTACCACCACCACCACTACTACTACTACTACTACTGCTGCTGCTGCTGCTGCTACTACTACTACTACTACTACTACTACTACTTCCATATAGACCACTGCTCTAGTGACTGCTACTGCTACTGAGACAACCACTGCGACGACGACGTTGACGACTACGTTTGCGACTACCGCCGATACTGGTAATACCACCACTACTACTACTACTACTACTACTACTACTACTACTACTACTACTACTACTACTACTACTATTGCTACTACTGCTCCTACTGGTACTACTACTACTACTACTACTACTACTACTACTACTACTACTACTACTACTACTACTACTACTACTACTACTACTACTACTACTACTACTACTTACTACTACTACTGCTACTACTACTGCTACTACTACTACTACTACTACTACTACTACTACTACTACTACTACTACTACTACTACTACTACTACTACTACTACTACTACTACTACTACTACTACTACTACTACTACTACTACTACTACTACGACTACTACTACTACTACTACTACTACCACTACAAATCCAACCAGCCCTTTGGGCGTGAGTGGTTTAGAGAGCCCGCTCTGTTCTCAACCCCCCTTCTTCCCCTTCGGGGATGGGTTTACCCCTCCCCCTACCCCCTCCCCCTGGGCCTGGAGAGGGCGCCCCGCGGGTGGTTGGAGGGGTCTTTTTCGATCCTGGGAGGGCTAAAAAACGACACCCCTCACGAGGATTCTGGCCCCGACGGGGGGAGGCAGAAAAATGCTCCCCTCTTCTTTGAAGCCAGAATCATTGATTTTACTACGGTTTTGGCCCCATTTTGGCCTTCTGAGGGGGCAGCGCTAATTAAAGCTCCCCTCTTCTTTCAAGCCAAAATCATTGATTGTACTAAGGTTTTGGCCCCATTTTGGCCTTTTGAGGGGGCAGCGCTAATTAAAGCTCCCCTCTTCTTTGATCGATTTCCTCCAAGATGGCCCCAAGAAGCGCCCAGGAGGCACCAAGAGGCCCCAAGATGGCCCCAAGAGGCCCCCAGGAGGCCCCCAAGAGGATCCCAAACGGCCCAAAGAGGCCCCCCCGAGGCACCCAAGACGCCGAAAAGCCCATCAGGACGACCCTCTACTCGCCTGGGCGTCGTTTCTGGACGGGCAGGAGGAGGGGCCCGAACGACTCACACCAGGACGAGGGGCCCGAACAACTCACACCACGAGAAGCCCGAACGACTCACACCAGGACGAAGAGCCCGAACGACTCACACCACGAAGAGCCCGAACGACTCACACCAGGAAGAAGGGCCCGAACGACTCACACCAGGACGAGAAACCCCAAACGACTCAAACCACGAGGAGCGCTTTCTCTCCCTCCTCCTCCGCCTCGTCCTTCTCCCGCTCCCACCACAAGGAGGATGTACAAGGAGGCGGGAGGAAGGGGGAACAGGGGAGATATGCGGGGGCAGGCGGAAACACGCCTGAAAAACACGACTGTCGGCATGCTTCGCTAGAGTTGCTGTTTTGAGATGGGCTGGTGGGGATACGCGAAGCGTGAAGAATTACAAATGTACTGAATGACGTGCTCCGGCTCATTTGGTTCTAGAAGCAATTCGCTGTGGGAGCGGGCGGGCACCCTGCGCGCTCGCGTTTATGCACGTCTGCACAACTCGCTCCCTTTTTTCCCCGGTGTGAGTTACGTGGCGTGAGCAATGGGTGTGTGGTGAAAATTACGTGGTGTGATGGCGGACGGAGAGGGGGCCGCTGGGTCCGCAAACGGGCCTTGTAACGGGAAAAAATTGGGGCGG